TTTGGTTAAGTACCTGATATTATACTTGGAAATATGCACATTTTCAGATGATGTTTATCTTCTTCTAGGAAGGGTTTATACTTCTCCCATAAGCAGTCAGAAGAATGTTACATTTCCTTATCTAATTCTTTGTGAACCTAATATGAAGATAGTCAAGTTTAACTGTAATTATTACCTTATCACTCAGCCACATTCCCAACCCTAATATTTGGAATCTTGTGACCAATTTTTGACTTAGCAACTTTATCTACAATGCTCTAATTGATAAGTTACAAGCTATTCTATTTTACTTGAGACCAGGATATATAACTGTTAAATTAAAAATAATATAACTAAAATTGTATTTCCATGGGAAAACACAACAGGATTGGTTAGATTTCAATGGCTAATTTTATCCATAAAAATCTGAATTGATGGATTTAATAAGGGGTGATTGGGCTTGTTTATAGTGATAACATATTTGGTATTAGTGTTAGGACTTCAATCTACTCTTTTATCATCAAAGGACACAGACAGAAGATCATAATTATTTCTTAAAATTGGGGCCTCAGGGTAACTGAAAGTTTTTGTTTCTGTGTAAAAACTTACACAAGAAATACAATGATGAATCAGATAAGGATCACCAAGTTACCTGATTACATCAGCATTGGTGTTTTTTTTAAGTGTTTATTAAGTCTGGAGAATCAAAACTTCAAGTGAATTACCATTCATTTTTTTAGGGAGTGGTCTGCATAGAATTTTGCAATGCTGCATGGGTAATTCAATCCTTTCACAAGTCAGATAAATGATTTATTCTTCAATAGGCGGAGAGCACTGATCCCATGGAGATAGTGATCTAAGACAGCAGTTGCTGTCTTTTTCTGTAATGTCCCTGATTGTCAATATGTGAAGCTTTGCAGGCCACTGGGATTGTAGTGCCACCTTTGAGCTCTGCCATTGTAGTATGGAAGCAGACACAGACAATGTATAGCCAATGAGCACTGCCATGCTCAATGTTTGTGGAAACTGAAATTTACATTTTATATGAATTTTGCATTTCAAAGTTTTTCTTCTTTTACTTTTTTTTAAATTTAAAATCTTGTGGATTGAAAATTTCCCACCCATGTATTTAAAAAAGTTATATCTAAACAAAATGTAAGAGTATATATATCTACTTTAGTGCACTCAGTTAATTTTGGTACACTAATGTCTAATACTCTACCAATTATTAAATTTCCCCAAACTTTTAGAATATTCTCCATAATTTATTTTTATTTTCAGTGTCCAGAGAAGGAACAGCATACACTTAGCCATCTTTTCCCTTTAGTTTCCTCTAAATACATACAGTTCCCTTTTATTTATTTATTTCCTTCCAGTATGTTGACCTTACTGAAGATTCCAAGATAGTAATCATTTAAAATATCCCTCAAGCTATTTTTTAAACAATTTTTCAGGAGTTTTATTCCAGTTATGAGTTTGAGAAGGAAAACACACAAGTGTTTTGTTCATGGCCCTGAATATTGCTGGTGAATTAGGGACACATAATGTCAGCAATCCTATTATTTTATGTTGATTTCCTCTTGTAATTAAGTGCTATCTATCAGATCTCCTTGTTTCAGAAGTTCTGCCTTTATGTCATATTAATAAGAATCTATGACAGGGGATTCTAAGTCTGTATGATTATCCTGTTTCCTGAATTATCACCCCAAATGTTTCAGCTTTAATCAACAGTACTGGCCTAAACTGGTACCCTAACTTGAATTATTACAAAATGATGATATGTCTAATTTTATCATCATTTGTTTTTTTAAGTCAGTTTAACTGTAATCAGTTGTGCGTGTGTGAGTTGGTATCTGCCCTTGTGAGAAAGCGCCAAGGAACTGAGGCAAAGGCTTCAGGACCAGACTGTGCATGTGTGAGTTAGTATCTGGCCTTGTGAGAAAGCTTGAAGGAACTGAGACAAAAGTCTCAGAACCAGACGTCCAGAACAACAACAGTGCTCAAGGTTCCCCAGATGGCTTCATGTCCTTCATATGTAAATAAGAAGGTTATGCTGACAGTGTGCTTCTCCTGTTTCTCTGTTCCCATTTTAAAGGAGACATAACAAAGAGTTAATTTTAACTGTGCTTCCCTGTGCTAATGTAACCTTGACACGTAATACTTGACATGCTTTTTCTGACCAAATGCTCTCTGTGAAAGAGGAGTTTATAAAAAGCAGAAGTGACCTTCATTAAAGTGGCAATTGAGGAAGATTCAGTGGTCCTCTCATCTTTTATGGCTCCAGTCACACAGGTCCAACCAATAAACTGCAACAATCAATAATACCTGTATGCATTTTAAAATTAAGGCAAATAAACTACATGTTAATGATGCAAACTCAATACTTAATGTTGATTTTTCACTCCAGAAAATGCCATTGTTGAAAAAAAATCAAATATTTATTTGTAATTTGCCATAAACAGATGCTGTGGAAATTTTGTGGGAAATAGAATCTTCTATTTGAAACCTTATTCCACAATAAGGATTGTGTAAAAACTGATAATATAGAGCAGCAGATATTGACAGATGCCAGTTTGCAAGGTTGATGATGGAAATATGAGATCAAAAAACTTTGGCACCAAATACCAAAGTACTCATACTTGAAATGCTAGTGGAAAGCATTTTTATAAAATCATTGCCACTGGTCTCAAACTCTTCATGTTTGTTATATGATTTGTCTGCCCAGAAATGTCACTGCTCCTCTTTGGATGTGGCTTCCTAAGTAGTAAATCAAAGATTGAAATTAAAGATTTCAATTATATCTTTCATACTCATGAATACTTTATAACTTGTTTTTTTGTCTCTTTTTCCCAGGGCACAACTGTATTAGTATCACTGACATCTGTGTTATATGATGACAAAGAATTTCCCAACCCAGAGGTGTTTGACCCTGGCCACTTTTTAGATGAAAGTGGCAACTTTAAGAAAAGTAACTACTTTATGCCTTTCTCAACAGGTAACAGAAATTCATTTCTATATGTTCTTCAAGTGACAGGACACCTTTTTGAGATCATTTACAATTCTTGCAATGCCCCCATTTTGCTGGTAGAATAGCTGTTTGCACATCATTAGGAGCCTCACTCCTAATGTCCATTCACTTTCTTTACTCATGAAAAGATGTGTGGAGACACAGGAAATTTTGTTTAATACACCATCTTCTCATTTTTCCATTTTGTCTGGTTTATGAAATTGAGGGCCTCACCATTACACACCTAGATTTGTAATAATTATATTTTCTTGTAAAATCAATCCTTTAATCAATGTATACTAACCTTCTTTATCTCTTCTTGTTTTTATTGTCTTGAACTTGTTTTTGTTGGATATTTGTATAACTACTCTTACTTGCTTTCTGATTCCATTTATAACTCTGTGTATCTTTGCAGGTCAGGTGAATTTCTTGTAGGAAAATCTTTGTACCTTGTTTTTTAATCTGCTATGCCATCCAGTGTCATTTAATTGAAAAATTTGATTTTGCTGGGTCTCCCTTTCACTGCTATTCAATTCAAGAGCTTTCACGTGACCATTTACTTCAACATGCACTTACATACTTGTTGGTTTGGTTCTATACTGTGGAAGACTAGAAGAATGCTGAGTGCCTCAATTCTACCATCTGTAGTTACCATGATGAGAAGAGAGAGATCTCTCTTTAAGAATTCACATTGCAACATGACAGTAAAATATATAAATAAATAGATAAATAGAAATTTATGATACCAGGTGATCCATGTTTCAATAATATCAGGAATATTATGTTGAGGAAACCCAGAGAAGGCAAGAGATTTTATTGCTTGTGGCATTACAAAGAGTGTAAAGAAGAAAGGAAGTTTGATCAATATTGAATGTAGTTTACAAATAGTGCACCATAGTCAAGATTAGCGTGATATAAAGAATGAATAATAGTGGTGATTTGGAGTTTCATGAAAAGTGTGCAAAGCTAGAAGGGAGAATAGAGACTTTGAGGACTGTGAGACAAAAATCATGTTATATCAGAACAGGAAATGAAACAAACAGTATGGACATGTTTGTATAAATACATATGTAGAAACTTCACATGTCAAAAGAGCAGTTATATTGTAGGAACACTTAAAGTGTTTATTTTTATTTTCAGGAAAGCGAATTTGTCTGGGGGAGAACCTGGCCCGCATGATGCTATTTTTAATCCTGACAACCATATTACAAAACTTTAACCTGAAATCAGTGGTTGACCCAAAAGACCTTGACACCACACCAGTTGTCAATGGGTTGGTGTCTGTGCCACCCAAGTATCAGCTCCATTTCATTCCTGTCTGAAGAAGAGAAGACTGTCTGCTGCTGAGCTGCAATCTGAATTTCCCTCTTCAGGTGTATCATCACCTGCTACTTCATGAATGATGCTTTCTTTAACTTACTCCTTATAGCTCTCCATTATCTCCAGCTCTAGGGAACACCCAACTTTCATTCTGGAGAGTTTCCTGGGCCATTTAACAAATATGTCTGATATTCCCAAAGCTATGTAATACTTGTACCGACCATCCCAAATGCCAATAAGTATTTAATGCTGAATTATCAATGTAAAGCAGCAAAATGTTTAGAACAAAAATCTCTCCCCTTTTATATTCTGAGTAAAAATCATTTTTAATTTCTGCTTCAGTTCTCAAACTACCCTTCCTCTTTGCATAATGCAGATGATAAATGAAAGAAACTGTATAGAAAAGTTCTTTGTCTGAGTGTCACCTAGAAGTACTAGAAATTTAGATTTCAAAGACCAATTTCCAACCTAAATGAAAGAATTCCAAAAGTCAGTTTTAGGGAGAATGATATTAACTGTACAAATGTACCTGCTTTGCTTCTACTATGAACACAAAATAAAGATTTTAAATAGTCCTTTAACTTTGTGTTTCTATCTTGGAGCGAAGACTGAATTTATGTTTTCATATTACTAATCATGTGTTCTGGGTGTTATTTCTGCCTTCTCCAAGCCAAAAAAAAAATCCTTGGAGAGTCTCACTAAGTTTTAATACTTTTCTACTTTCCACAATAATTTTTATAACATAAATATAAAGTAATATAATGCTATGTCCCCAAGACAGCAATCTCATTTTATCTCCAGAACATACACCATTGAAAATCTAAAGCAGGTCAAATCCTAGTCATCATTTTCCCTTCCTACTGCTTTGAAGTGTACGAAATGAGAAAGGCCGTCACTCATTGCCTTTTGAATATATTCTGTCAGACATTTTAAGTTATTGTATTGGTGGCTTCAGATATGTAACTATACACGAGGGCAGAATTATACATTCATACATAATATGTCATATACACAAGCACAGATATGTAATTAGATACTGTTCTTCATATAATTGGACTCATACTACTTGTATTTTCTACAACTTACTCTTTTTACACTAGACAGTGTATTAGGAAAACCCTGTAGACAACAGAAAAATGTGAAATGATTTTAGTGGACAGAAAACAGGAAATGCAAATTGTTATTCAATAAGAGAATAGCTGATGTATATCTAGCAAATATTTTGTGTCACTCAGTGGGTGGTGTCTTCAATTTAGATACCATTCCTTTTTTTGTGCAGAAGATTTTTAATTTCATGTAGTCCAATTTGTCCATCCTTTCTATTAGTTGTTGGGCTGCTGGAGTTCCACTGAGGAAGTCCTTGCCTATACTTATTGCTTCCAGAGTATTCTTTGGTTTTTCCTGTACTAACTGCAAGGGTTTGGGTCTGATATTTAGGTCCTTAATACACTTTGATTTGATGCTAGTCCAGGGTGACAGGGATGGATCTAGTTTCAGTTTTTGCAGGCAGATAACTGCTTTGCCCAGCAACATTTGTTGAAGAAGCTGTCTTTTCTTCATCGCATGTTTTTGGTGCCTTTGTAAAAAAAATAAGGCAGACATAGCTGTGTGGATTCATATCTGGGTCCCCTATTCTGTTCCACTTGTTTTCATGTTTGTTTTTGTGCAAGTACCATGCTGTTTTCATTGCTATGGCTCTGTAATATAGTTTGAAGTCAGGTATTGTGATTCCTCCAGCATTGCTCTTTTTGCTCAGTATTGCTTTGGCTATTTGTGGTCTCTTGTGTTTCCAAATGAACTTTAGGGCAGATTTTTCAAACTCCCTGATGAACGTATTTGGGATTTTTATGGGAATTACATTGAACATGTAGATTGTCTTTGGTAATATAGCCATTTTTACTATGTTGGTTCTGCCAATCCATGAGCATTCGTGGTCTTTCCACCTTCTGTAATCTTCCTTGATCTCTTTCTTTAGTCATGTGTAGTTTTCCTTGTAGAGATCATTAACATCCTGTTAAGTTTATTCCTAGGTATTTGATTTTTTTGAGGCTATGGTAAATGGAATTATTTTCCTATATTCTCTATTTGTTCATTGTTGGTGTATGGAAAGGCTACTGATTTTTGTGTATTAATTTTATATCTTGATACATTGCTGAAGCTGTTTGTGGTGTCTATGAGTTTTTGGTTGGACTTTTTTGGTTCTTTAAGGTATATGATCAAGGCATCTGTGAATAGGAATAATTTGACTATTTCTTTACCTATTTGTATTCCTTTTATCTTTTCTTCTTGCCTTATTGCTCTGGCCAGGAATTCCAGGACTTTGTTGAATCAGAGAAGGGAGATTGGGCACCCTTGTCTTATTTCTGATTTTAGGGAAAATGGTTTCAGTTTTTCCCTATTAAGTATGATGTTGGCTGTAGGTTTGTCATATATAACCTTTATAATGTTGAGGTATATTCCTTCTCCTCCTAGTTTTCTTGGAGCTTTTATGATGAAATTGTGTTGAATCTTATTGAAGGCTTTTTCTGCATCTATTGAGACAACCCAGTGATTTTTGCCTTTGCTTCTATTAATGTGCTGTATGACATTTATTGATTTACATATGTTGAACCATCCCTGAATCGCTGGGATGAAGCCAGCTTGGTCATGGTGAATAATCTTGCTGATATACTGTTGGATTCAATTGGTTATTATTTTATTTAGTTGTTTTTCATCAATGTTTATTAAGGAGATTGGCCTGTACTTCTCCTTTTTGAATGTGTCCTTGTCCAGTTTTGGGATGTGTGTAATACTGGCCTAATAGAACGAGTTAGGCTGAATTTCTTCCCTTTCTATTTCACAAAATAGTTTAATGTGTGTTGGTATTAGTTTTTCCTTAAAGGTTTAGTAGAATTCAGCAGGGAATCCATCGGGCCCTGGATTTTCTTTTTTGGGAGACTCTTTATTGCTGCTTCAATTTCATTATGTTTTATAGATATGTGTAGGTGGTTAATATCTTCTGGGTCAGCTTTGGATTGTCTTAAGTATCTCAAATTTTTCCATTTTTTCAAGATTTTCCAATTTAATGCGAGTCAACTCCCTGTATAGCTATCCTTATCTCAACTAGCAAAAACCCTTGGTCCTTCCTATTATTGCTTATACTCTGCCTTCAACAAAATTAGAGAAAAGGGCAAAATAGTTTCTGCCGGGTAGTGAGGGGTAAGGGGGGGTAAGGGAGGGAGTGGGGTGGGTAAGGGAGGGGGTGAGGGGAAGAGGGGAGAAATGACCCAAACATTGTATGCACATATGAATAAAATAAAAATTAAAAAAAAGGGAAAAAAAGATTTTCCAATTTGTTAGAATATAGGTTCTCAAAGTAGTCTCTGATGATTCCCTGATTTCTTTTGTGTTTGTTGTTATCTCCCCTTTTTCATTTCTGATTTTACTAATTTGGGTCTTTTCCCTCCTCATTTTAGCCAGATTTGCCAGGACTTTGTCAATCTTGTTTAGTTTTTTCAAGGAGCTACCTTCTTTTGTTGTTGTTGATTATTTGCATTTTTTTATTGTCTCTATTTCATTGATTTCAGACCTTATTTTTGTTATTTCTCACCTTCAGCTTGTTTTTGGTTTAGCTTGTTCTTATTTTTCTAGGAATTTGAGATACAGCATTAGGTCATTTGAGATCTTTCTGTCTCTTAATATGTGCATTCATGGCTATCAACTTTGCTGTATCCTATAGGTTCTGATTGGTTGTGTTTTCTTTTTCATTAAATTCCAGGGATCTTTTCATTTCCTCTATGACTCACTGAACATTGAGCAATGTGTTATTCAGCCTCCAATTGTTTGCACATTTTCTGCTGTTGCTTTTGTTGTTGCATTCTAGTTTTATTGCATTGTGTATAGATATAACGCAGGGAGTTATTCCTATTTTCTTATATTTTTTGAGGCTTGCTTTGTGCCCTAAGATATGATCTATTTTGGAGAAAGTTCTATGGGCTGCTGAGAAGAATGTATATTGTGCTATTGCTGGATGAAATAGTTTATAGATATCAATTAAGTCCATTTGATCCATGATTTCATTTAGGTATAGAATTTCTTTGTTGATTTTTTTCTGGATGATCTATCAATAGGTGATGGAGGATTATTAAAGTCTCTGCCATGGATATTAACATGGTTTTGATTTGCATTTTCAATATGGTCAGGCATTGTGAGCATTTCTTCATGTGTTTTTTAGTCATTTGAACTTCTTCCTTTGAAAAAGCTCTGGTCAGTTCATTTGCTCATTTCTTTATTTGGCCATCGATTTTTTTTTTTGAGTTTAGTTTTTTGAGCTCTCTGTATATTCTGGTTATCAATCCCTTGTCAGATATATTGTTGGCAAAATTTTTTTCCCATTCTGTGGGGAGCCTCTTCAATTTAGAGACCATTTCTTTTTTTGTGTGGATGCTTTTAATTTCATGTAGTCCCATTTGTCAATCTTTTCTCCTAGGTGCTGAGCCATTTTATTTCTTTTGAGGAAGACATTGGCTATGCCTATTAATTCTACTGTATTTGCTGCTATTTTCTGCACTAGCTTCAAAATTTCAGGTCTTATATTAAGGTGCTTAACACACTTTGAGTTAATACTTTTATAGTGTGAAAGACATGGATCTAGTTTCAGTTTTCTGTATCCAGATATCCAGTTTTCTTACCAACATTTGTTGAAGAAACTGTCTTTTCTCCATCATATGTTTTTGACAACTTTGTCAAAAATCAGGTGGGCACAGCTTTGTGGATTCATATCAGGGCCTTCTATTCTGTTCCACTGGTCTTCATGTCTGTTTTCATGCAGATGCCATGCTGTTTTTATTGCAATGTCTCTAAAGTATCGTTTGGTGTAAGGTATTGTGATACCTCTAGCGTTGCTCTTTCTGCTCAGCTTCATCTTGGGAATTTGTGGTCTTTTGTGCTTCCAAAAACTTTATATTTATTTTTTTCTTGTACTGGGGCTTGGACTCAGGGTTTCATACTTGCTAGTCAGGCT